TCGTTGATCTTATCCTGGAGGTCAGTTTGCGTCTGTTTGTTCCCATGTTTCACCACAAATTGACCCTCTGCTATCAATTACAAACATATCTGACACATTAACACCTGAACAATCAGTAATGTTATAAAAAAGAGGCATTAAAACGGCATAAACCCGATCTGAAGAGCGTACGTGGAATCTTTAAATTGCTTGGTTTTATTGGCACGTGTCCCATTTGGTAACATGAGTTCCTTCAGTTCAAACAACAAATTACTTATTTCTTTAAATTTCTGTGGTTTAAATGCAAATATAAAGGAGGCGAAGCTTTTAAGTTGTGTAAGCTTTAGCCACATAACACAAATCTTGACTCCTAGAGATTTGCTCGTATTTAAAAATAATTGATGAGTCATACTTTGTTCCTCCGTATTGCAGGACGACTTTGATACAGAACAGATGTCAGCGCTGGCTTCCTGTCTGTCTGAACTATTTAAAGATCATTTCAGAGGAGAAGTCCTCCCAGAGGAGATCACTGAGGAGTAAGKCTTTCCTCTAACTCATCCTCTCTGTGTGCCTGACCCGTTTGTTTCAGCTCACCGGTTTGTCTCTGCAGGTCTCTGGAGGAGTCGGTGTGCAAACCGGTCTGCCTGATCTTCAGGAACCTGGCCACCATGCAGGAGGACAACAGTGGGTTCTCGGTGCTGCTAGACATGTTGGCAGAACTTTACCAGAAGCAGCCAAAGATAGGATACCACCTACTGTACTACTTAAAAGCAAGGTACGTGTAAAGATAACCGACTCAAAAACGATAATATCCAACACGTGAACATGAAACATTAAAGAGCTTGTGACATGCATATCCATGAAATACAAAAAGTCAAAGAAAATATATTTATATTGAAGAAACGGCATAATACACATGATTTTACCCTCTATGTCACATAATTGGCATATTTTCTTTTGAATTTGGCTCAGCTAAAATGAAACAGGAAGTGACATCAAAGGGGAACTCTTTGAGAAAGAAAACTGTTTTTTTTTGTTTATTTAAACAATATTATACCTCTTTCTCATCTCTCCGATAGTGATTAAAATAAACTAAAGAAGCATCAGATGTTTTCTACAGTCTGTGTTGTTAGCCATTTTAGCAACACTCTGTTCACATTCAGACATTCCCCTTTGACATCACTTCCTGTTACTTCACATGTAAATATCTCAACAACTGTTCGTCTCAGCGGAATGAAATCTTTTTTCTTTTTTTTACAATGTATTATTAATGTTATTTTTYCAAAAATGYATTCACATTTATTACAAAAATTTGCTGTGACGGGCACTTTAAAGCTTCTGTCTGTGTGTGCCCAACAGTAAAGCAGCAAATGGGAAGATGATGCTGTACGAGTCGTTTGCTCAGGCGACGGCGCTCGGTGACCTGCACACGTGTTTGATGATGGACATGAAAGCCTGTCAGGAGGATGACGTTCGACTGCTCTGCTACCTCACTCCCTCCATTTACTCTGAGGTATAGGCAGACACACGTAGTTCCCGCTTTTGTTGCAGAAATGTTTACACCTTGCAGKAATTTATAAACCGTCCTCGCTGACGTCAGGAAACTTTGTTTATGCCTTCAGACGTACACAAACACCCTCTGACAAATATCTTTGTTCAGTTTCCAGACGAAACGCTTCGAAGTGGCGAGCTGCTCAACATGATCGTAGCCGTTATTGACTCAATGCAGGTAAGACTCCAGTTTCTGTAGTTCTGAGGCAGAGCYCTGTGCCACCTGTCCAGTAACCTGGATGCCACCTGTTTGTGTGCAGTTACAAGAGCTAATGTGTCATGTGATGATGGGAAACTTGGTGATGTTCCGTAAAGACTCCGTTCTCAACATCCTCAGTAAGAAACAAAACATTYGCAGTGTGTTATGTTGCTATTTGGACCAGTTTGTCTAGATGTTCTGTTGTTTCACCCTTCAGTTCAGTCTCTGGACTGGGAGACCTTTGAGCAGTACAGCACTTGGCAGCTGTTCCTGGCCCACAGTATCCCCCTGGAAACCATCATCCCCATACTGCAGCACCTAAAATACAAAGGTGATGACTAAAAATAAAACTGATTACTCAACACAACTACACACATACTAAACAAAAAAGAGCTGTTTTATAGTCCTGACAGACTTTTTTCTTTGTGTTTTTGTTTCTCAGAACACCCGGAGGCCTTGTCCTGTTTGCTGTTGCAGCTCCGCAGAGAAAAGTACGACAAAAAAAAAAACAATTCTCAATAAAAATTACAAATATCTCTTTCTATCCTTGATTATAAATGTTTGTTTTTTCTTATATTTTCCTCAGGCCAAGTGAGGAAATGGTGAAGATGGTCTTGAGTCGTCCTTGTCACCCTGAGGACCAGTTCACCACAAGCATCCTCAGACACTGGGCGTCAAAGTATGACGACACTCTGGGAGAACACATCAAGGCCCAGCTAATCAAAAACAACAACCAGCCCCGCAAAAGACAGAGGTGAGGAGACACACAATTCAAAATTGTTTCCAGGCTAGTTTTTACGTTCTTTTCTGCTCCTCTTTGCTTCGGTTTTATTTTCATGGTTTAGGTTTGTGTGTGGCAGCTGAAAGCTAACTCTTTATCTCTGTCTTCAGTCTTCGTAGTTCGAGCAGTAAACTGGCCCAGCTGACCCTGGAACAGATCTTAGAGCACTTGGACAACCTGAGATTGAGTCTCAGCAACACAAAGAACAACTGTCAGTACACGCACACACTTTTATTACTGATCCTGATCAATAACACACAGGTCAATAACTCTCTGTTTGTTCTCCGTCAGTTTTCACTCAGACGCCGATCCTTCAGGCTCTGCAGCACGTACAGGCCAGCTGTGACGAAGCTCATAAAATGAGGTGCTCGCACGCTAAAACATGCACCAGTCGTGATGTCACGCGCGCTCACGATGACTCGTGCGTTTTGACGCGGCTTCCTCTCCCCGCAGGTTCAGTGACTTATTCGCGCTAGCAGAGGAGTACGAGGACTTTCAGTCGAAGCCTCCGAAGTCTCGGCGAAAAGCGCCGGCCTCATCGCCTCGCTCCAGGAAGGGAGTAGCTCCGCCCACAAACAACGAGGAAGAGAGCGGATCCAGTAGTGGCTCGGTGCGCGTAATTTTGATATTAATAGTGATCTGGACATTTTAATGTTTGATTGAGTAGAAAGTTGAAACTGTTGCTTTTTCTTTTCTATTTTGGACGAATAAATTTGCTCATTTAGAACTCAGGTCATGTCTGTTATGTTTTGAGTGATTTCAGGTTTTGCAGTGACCTTGTTAAATATCTTGCAGGAGGAAGAGGACTCGAAACCCAAAGCTCCTAAGAGGAAGAGGAAAGGCTCGTCTGCAGTTGGCTCAGATAGTGACTGATGGATTTTCTGAGCAATCGCACGTAAGCCGACAGAGACCGCCAGCCAACCAGCCGTTCGACCTCGGGAGGAGGCCTGAGATGGGCTCAGGGATGATGTGGACTTTAAGCCCATGTWGTGAACTAACGTGATGAGACTGATTCTGTTCCAATGGAGACAAAGAGCGACTGCTGGACTCCAAACAGGCCGACTGTTCTCCCACGATGCCCTTGCAGGAGAAAGCACAAACTCTTAAATTAAATGAACTGATTTTAACAGCGAACACGGTTCCGACAATGGTGACAAGTGTGACCCCTGGCTTTTTTTTTTTTTTTGTTCTTTTTTCCTTCTCTCTCTGCGGGGACATGGACTCATTTTGGAGCATCTTGACTTCCTGCTGTTTTTAGCAGCCTGTTTGTTTCACTGCAGTAAAAACTCTTCATCTGTTGTTCAGTCATGTCAGATGAATTCTTGATAAAAAAAACAAACAAACCAATGGTTTCAGGGTGTCATGTGTCTGTTACTGAGTATTCTAACGGGAGAATGGGTGATGCTGCTTTGAAACACAATGGCACCACAGTCAGTAAAGGACCATTTGAACATTTTTTCCATTGTTTGCATAAACATGTCAAAATGTGTCCCTGGGGGCCTCTGATCTTTTCTGACTTTTGGTAAAAACACATCGACGATTTGATTAACACGAAAATATTTTTTTATTGTCCAAATATCTTTTACAAGGATTCATTTTAGGTTTGTTTTTTAAAGCGGGGGGGAAAACAAGACTTCACCGGTTCAGAGTCCGAACTTTTCAAAGTGGTCAGAAAACAGCAGAAGTCCTTTTCTTAAAGTTTTATTTACAACCGTGTGTTGTTACAAAGCCTTAATTGGTTCAGTGAGCTGTTTTTCTAGACAACATGCAATACAATAAATAAAACATATGAGGAACAGATGGTGTTTGCTGAAGATTCACAAAAAACCGCAGACGTGGAAATCAAAAAATGATTAGATTCTGTTTTTCTTTCATTTCAAAGATTATCCCAAAGGAAAAACTTAGACATTAAATTAGTTTAAGTGAAAAAACAAAACAGTATTTAAAAGGCCTAACATTCCTCAGAGGAATGCGTTAATTATTGCCGTTTTGGTGAAACRATTTTGCACTCTTGTGTCGGGAATGACTCAACTACCATGTCAAATTTAACCTGAATATCTGAGGAATTGACYGAATTAAAGGCATTTTGAGAGGATAATGTGGATTAGCTGTGGTGGCCATCTTGAATTGGATTCCAAAAGTTACACCGATGTACACAATAAAAYCTGCACACTCATGAGATATTTTGCTAACAGACAGAATTGACTCCAACAGTTGTGCAAAACTTTTCAAGCGAAGATCTCAGGCAATGAGTGACACAAACGTTGAGCACAGAATTTACATTTTACTGAGACTCCCATGGTCAGATGTGGTTCCGAGTCTCCAAAAGTTGATTTGTTATAAATGTAGAGGAAATGATTTAGTGTTGATGATGTTTGAAGGCAGACAGGTGATGAGTCTCAGGTGGKTTTTGAGTGATTGACAGGGTGATTGGATCCACCTGCTGATCAGCTGACATAAACCAGGTGAACTTCCCCTGACTCAGGGCAGAGGTGTTTGGAGGTTCATTTGTGATTATTTTATATTTTTAGACACTTATTTAATTTTAATTTAATCTTTTGTTTGCAAGTCGTTTTTAGCTGAAATAAAATCAGGAGGAACACTCTTCTAAAACTTTCCTACCAGTTACTTCAGGTAGGTTGTGTTTTGGTGTTAAAGTGTTTTTATTTTTTTATAGCGTTTCTGAAACTAACGAGGTGTTTGTTTTTGATTCTGCAGCTTCACGATATGTCAGCGGTTAAATCCGGTTTGCGGGCCATTGTTCTGACCCCGGAGCGGATCCCCAGCTTCCTCATCCCATCTCGCGGTTCTTTCCTGGCCTCGCCTCGGCTCCACCGGGGCTCCAGCGACCGGACCAGGCTCCTGTCAGACACCGATTCAACGGACACCAGCCCGCCTGTGAGCCCCGGCCAGGTGGCCTCTCCTCGGGGTCTSCTTCGCCTGCCCGCGCCGCCGCGGATGGGACGTCTGCGCCGCGCTGCCGCCGCGGCGGAGGAAGCGGACGACGCGGCCATGTCTCTGCAGCACGTGCCGAAGGTGACCACACCGTACGGCTTCCGGGGGCTGGCCGCTAGTCCGTGCACGAGCCGGCGAGAGTCCCTGTTCCACCGGTGCAAACCCGTGAAACTGACGGTCACCGACGCTCAGGAGGACCCAGAGGGTACGCCCCATGTTCCGTCGGCTCCTGGCGGGTCCCGGGTCAGCTACCGGCCCGTCAGGGCTCTGGGTCAGCAGATGTTGAAGGAGCTGAAGAAACCTGCGGCTGCTCTGAGGGCTCTGAGCCCCTCACACCGGGCCACCTCACCCCGTTAACTGCGGAACCAGGCATCGATTTTAATTGTTGTGTAATGTTTTTTAATAAAGTTGATTTATTTGGTGAAACTTGTCTGCAAATGTTAWCACTTTTGACCCAAACTCTAGACTACAGGCATAAAGATTATAAACATTGAGGCTTTTATTTTTCATTGCACCCAGTTAGACAAATAAAACTCCAATTAGTTCCCATCGAACCAGGAGGTTGATCTACAGCGCCCTCTAGTGACCAATTAAAGTACTTCTAAAAGGGGTAGTTGATAGATCCTGGGTGGGGATCTCAAATCTTATCAGATACCCCATAAACTTTATTTGGAATGGATTTAGAAAGGTTTAGGCTCACGAAAATGCTTTTAATCGCACGCAAAGCTACAAATGAACTCTACTGATCAGTTTGACGACTCAAATCCTCAATTTTGTTTATAAACGTTAAATACAAGAGAAAAAAATCAGCGTATGAATGAAAGGCTTTATACCTCATTGTTTATATCTGTGGATATCAGAGGTGACTGAAGAATGTAAATAAAGGCTGAATATTCAGTTTGGTTTATTTCTAGATAATGTGGAATTTCTTGTTAATCATAACATTTTATATACATGTCAATTTGCAAAATGCTCTCCCTCATTCTGTGCTCTAATGC